AACATGTTTTGTTAACAGAGACAATGATTGTTGAGCCTACTGTTGATGAAACGGAGAAAGAAGTAATTCCACCGAAGACTGGACTTTATAAACGAATCAAGCAAAAATCTCGTGGTTCACGAAAGTCCTCAGAAAGGTCATCCAGTTTTTCTCCAACAATGGTTCGTAAACCTCATGTGACAAGGCAAGGGGTTGTTATTCGTGAATTTCAAGCTCCGGTTTCTCCGTCTTCCAAGAAACGAATGGCTGAGGATATGGCGAAAAATCTTTCTAAGAAGATTAAAAAGAGGAAGTTGATTCTTCAAAAAGAATCTTCCGAAGATGAGCAAGTTCCTGAAACTCTTGAAGCTACTCTTTTCAAACCAACTTCGACTCCTGAGCAGACTGAAGTCATACCACCCGAAGTTTCGTTAACCAAGTCAGTTCCTGAGGAGGTTCGAACTTCAGACATCACTACAAACGTATCTGATACGGATGTAAATGTCAACATGGGTGAAGGAGATTCGAATAAAGACATTTCAGTATCAGTCCAAGGTATTCCTATATTATCTACCATGGATACTTCTGTTTCATTACCACCTTATATTGTACCTGTTTCCAACACAACCAATTCACCTACTTTTGAACATGTTATCAACCATCCATTTACTACTCTTTTCTCATCCCAATCCACTCATCCACCCAAAACTATTGATGAACCTGAAACTGATACTGACGAAGGAGGTTTTGGAGGTACTTTTGATGATTTGGAATTTGTTGATGAGGAAGAAAATTTTCCAGATCACATGTTAATGTCTATGAAGCAGTTCAAGATTCTTAACAAGAAGTTGAATTCGATTATTCAATCTCAAGCTGATATGGGGGGAAGTAATTATGTGTCAAGTATGGAAATTGATGGTATGCTCAAAGCTGTCGAAGCCAGGATGGTTACCAAATGTTCTGGATTGATTCAAGCATCTGAGTCACGCATAATGGAGAATTTGGACCAGAATGATAAGAATAATGAGTTACGTGTGAAGTCTCAATCTTCGAATTTTCTGGGAGAAGTTAAAGATTTCAAACAGTCAGCTAAGGAACGACATGTATTGTTCATTCAAGATGTGAAAAAGGTGCGAGAAGATGTTAATTTCAAGCTTCAAGAGCTTCGAGAAGATATGGAAAAAGAGATTGAAGTGGTACAAAAGATTATGCTTCTCTTAATCAGAAAGTTGATATTATTGTTGATGTGGTTACCAAGTTCGTGAAATTATACGAAGCAATGAGTCCTCAACTTACTCAGTTATCTACTCAAGAATCTAATAGTTTCACTGAGATCACTACTCAGTTAAAAGATTTGAAGGCTTTAATCTCGAAGTCTGGTTCTTCTTCGTTGATTACACCAGAGTTTTTGTCCCAAAAGTTTACTCAGTTTGAAGCTATCCTTCATAAGCAATTGGCACCTTTATCTAGAATTTCGAACATTTTACCAACAGATGCCCCGCCTGTTGTCATAGGGGTGCAAGGGGGAGAAAGTAAGGTTGATGAGAGTGTGCATGAAGAAGTGAAGGTTGTTGGAAAAGTTTTCACAACAAAAATTCCATCAACAAAGCCAATTGTTTCAACAGTTGGTCCTGTAAGTTCGACAGTGGTGACCACAAAGCCAATCAACAAAGGCATAGTGATTCAATCTTTTGGTGAAAGGGGAAGTAGTTCAAAAGCTAAGGACACTGTTGAAAATCCTGGGAATAAAGACAAAGGGAAAACAATTATTGTTGAGAAATCAAAAGAAGAGAAGAAAGCCGAAGTTGAAGCTGAAATGGAGAAACAAAGGGTGATTCAAATTATTATGAGAATTCGTGCGAATGATCCACCTGGAATGGATAAGGGTGATCCAAGCAAGCATTACAATTATGAAACTATCGAAGCGAAAGTTGCATACAATCATATGTATGCTTTTCTGAAGAAGCCTAAACAAAGCTATGTTGTTGCTAACTCAGATATGAACCAACTTGATTTCCCTGTGAATGAGATGATGTTTATCATGGCTCAATACAAGATTGCTGGAAAGTTTGATAATGATGATGATTATACTCATATGAAACTTAGGTTTCATGTTGTGCTTGGAAAAATACCAGAGGAGATTTGGTCACTTGTGAAAATCAAGAAGGTGATAAGCATAACGAAAGATGTGTTGTTCGAGAATATGATACAAAATTTTCGGTATCATGTTGTAAGGGCGAACAATAAAGTTTGTGATTTCTCAGTTGCTGATTTCCATTAATGAACTTGTACGATCTTATACAAGTTGCATTACTTTTCAAAGACAAGAATGATTCGCATCTTCAAGGAACAGATCCAGAAGCTTTTAGACTTGGTCTTGCTCACATCAAAATATTCATAGATAATTACTATGAGTGTTCGGCTTTGACTGATGTGGAGTTGGCTACAACATTGGGGAATGAAGTGAAAGTCCCTATGGAAGTTTCGAAGACCCAAGCTGAGTTGAAGAAATATGCTGATGGGGAAATTTGCTTAAAACCTTTTGGAATGGTGTTTGCTAGTAAAGACAAGAACGGCAAAGCAAAAAGGTTCTTATTTCAAGCAAGTGAAGTTGAAAGATATACCACATCCCAATATACGAATTTTATTGTTCGTATGAATAATTGTTCAAAGAATAATCAAGGGGATAAGAAGGAGTTAAAGAAGATTTTGTCATGGTATACAGAGATTCGAAGAGTGATGCTTTTTACTGCACAGATTCTCTCACCTTGAGAGGTTCGACATGATTACAAAGGGGGAGATTGTAAGGTCGAACTTTCTTGTAATATGTCAAAATGTCGAAATCTGTGTAATAGTCATTTTTGTATGTCTCGTATGTATTTGCTAAGGCGTCTTAATTGTCGAAGCGTAATGTTTATGCCTTAGTATTTGTACTTTCAGTCTCCTATAAATAGGAGTTGAACGTTGAGTTGTAAATAAGATTTTTCCCTGTTTCTGCTTACATTTTGTAACTCGTGTTCATTGAAAGTATGAGAGCTTAAACCAGACCTTATTTACTTCTCGTGTTCATCTTACTCTGATTTTGATTCTTTTACTCGTTTAATTCAACTATAGTAGGTCAGTGATTGTGGTAGTGATCTGGGTAGGTAGGTGTGTGACATGTGTATGTGTGTGTTTGTGGGGGATGGGGTGGGGTGGGGATGGGTATGTGTGTGTGGGTGTGGGTGTGGGGGTAGGTATGTGTGTGTGTTTGTGTGTGTTTGGGGGTGAGCTTAGGAGTGGGTGAGTGTGGGTAGGTAGGGATGTGGTGGGTTGGGGGTGTTAAGGTGGAGGTAGGTAGATGTGGATAGGGTGAGAGTAGGTATGTGTTTATAGTTTAGAAAAATTTTGGAATTAGAAAAATATGAAAAACAATAATCATCAGTTTTCCAAAAATTTCCAATTTCTTTGTAATTTTAGAAAACGGAAAATTTTCAATCTCCATGAAAAATTTAGAAAATAGACGAACTAAACATGTTTTCAAAATTCTCATTTTTCTTGGAAATTTTTTCCGGAAAACGACCTATTTTTCCGCAACTAAACGCAACCTTAATTTCTTTATGCTTGTTCTTGAAAAAACAATACATTGTTTTGAAAAAAGAACAGAATGTAGATAAGAAAGATTATATAGTTACAAATATTTTAAGTAGACTTTAAGACAAAACATTCAAAAATATTTCTATAAACTATGTTTTAGAACCTTGTTAATACAGTATCATTGGTATTTTAATTTTTTTTATATTGCCTTACTTTTAAACTATTTCCTATCTTAATTTCCTATATATGATGTCAACATATGATCGTTTTTATGAAATGTATCAACTCTATGGATTATATAAGTTGAAGCTTTAAAAACTATAATGAAACAAATATTGAATTTGATTAGACCATGATCGAGTGAATATTTTAAGGGCAAGATAATAATTTCGATTTTCTTTATTGTTTCGTACTTGTAATTGATCTTCGGTGCTACTTAGAGCAAATGTCTAAAAAAAAGGATGATTGTCATTTTAATTTTCTAGTGTATGTTGTATTGATGTGGTACATTTGGATGACAAGAAACCAAAAGGTGTTTAAAAGAATTGATACGGCTCTGGCAAAGATCGTGGATGATATAATATCATTTCCCATTCGTATTCATGGTATAAGTATCGTGGTTTTAAGCAATGTGGTAGATGTTTTGAGCAGAATATTTCTCTTTTTAGTTTTTGTTAACTGTATCTTTTGAAACACTTTGTTATTGCCCACGGTTTAGCTACTTGTTAATTATGTGGTTCTTTTTATAAATACATAGCCGTTTCCAAAAATTTAATTCATGATATTCTAGAAAAGTTTGAAATTTTACAATAAATTTGATGAAGCGTTCAAAAAAATCTTCGTTTATTTCCATTCGATAGTTGATTTTCATTCTTCGGGAAGTATCCATTCTTTTATGGAATAAAAAGATAAAATACTTTAAGTATATTATAATATAATATAATATTATTCAATTATACTGAAATTTATAAAAAAAAAAATCAAAAACATCAATTAAAATATTTTTTTCTCAAAAGCTAAAAATCTATTCTTTTTTATATAGTTCTACGTTTTAGATTTCATGTTTATTTCTGGAAAGAATTTTCTTTTGCAAATAATTTTCTTTAATAAAAGATACATCATTTGCAAATATATTAATTACGGTTAAATTTCAGAAATTAGGTTTTTTTTTTCTTTATTTATCAATTTTATATTAAATTTATTTATTTTATTCTTTCAAATCAACCGAACATAACAATAGAATATAACACTCCATCTCATTATATAAGACTTACTTTTATAGTATAGAGTGATAATTTCCTATTACCTAAAGATATTCCTCATCACATTCGGTTAATTAATATTAATTATTGATATTGCATATTTATTGTATAGAGAACTCGAAATAATAATTCCGAACAATATAATATATCATCATTCCTGTGTGACCAATAAAATTTAAATATACATATTTTTATAATCAATAATCCATCGAATCAAGCTCATCTTTATTCAAATTTATCATATATTAATTATGAAATACATCATTTTAATTTGTAGCTTACCAAAACAATGTCAATTATACGTTTATTTAATAAAGAAGTGATGGATACCTTCAAGAACAACATCTATCGGTGGTATCATATCACTCTCACCTACATGAAGAAGCATATAACTATATCAAATTTGCATCGAGCTTCTAACTAACTCTTTTAATTCACAAAAACTGCTAACATAATAGTACAAAAGGTAAGATTTTTGACTTAATGAACTTAAAAGACACATTTGTTAATTTGGCAAGGTATATACGAGCATTTATATATGTTCGACTAAATGCACATGAAACGAGTTAATAAAAAACTAAGAAAAGAAGATTCCCGGCATTAAATCCCAATGTTTTAAAGAAATCTCATTGTTTATTTTTTTCCTTTTATTTCTGTGGATGTGTCTTACTTTTTTAAATATTTTTTAAATACCATTCATACTCACAACATAACATCACGAGTTAATAAAAAAGTCCTTTATCTAATAAAAAGGACCTAAGGTGATTGTGACAACTTGTAAGATGCCTTTATTTAGAACATTTTCCCCAACTTATGCCATTTTTTTAACGCTAAATCAATATCTAATTGATAAACATGCTTTGTTTTCGATCGAGAAGGAGGGCATACATCAGAATTACCCACAACCTTTAACCTATATATTTCATGGTATGCATAATTTTAAGCAATAAAGATCAAATTATTTTAGAGAAATTTACCATATATATATAGAAGTTAAGCAGAAGCTGCAGCATCAACAAGCTTTAATTCCTGCAATTCCTTGAAGTCCTCCCATGGCTTAACCCACACCTTGGCTTCATAAGTTTTGTTTTCATCACCATCCTTTGCTTCAAGTGTAATGTAATACATCTTACCTTGTACTACCTGCTCCTTTGTACTTACTACCTTCACAAACTCCAACAGTGCATTCTGCACAAATAATCCATCATTTTCTTTGTATTTACACCATTTGTTCCAAACTAAATGCAACAATTGGCATTGTACATAATTTACTGTTGGTGTTTCATTAAAATCCAAATATCACTCAATAAGAAGATAAGTAGTTGAATCTTGTGAATCAACATCAATGTTATTAGTATTTTGTAATAACTACTAATGAGCGAAAATGTAAATTTGGATTGAAACCTTACCCAAAAAAAACGCAATGTTTAGTTTACTTTGGAGGAACCTAAAGAGGGTAATTACGTGTTCATTTTAGGAAGTCAAGTTACCTTTAATACATGAAATAGACAAGCATTATAGGGTTATTTTCGATCATTTATGTCTTTTCTATATATACGAGATTAAAAGTGAGGTCATGTCCCACATTGTTTCACCTTTTTGTATGGGACATTGACATGTAATGCTATGTCATGCATAGCTTTTCCTCCTATCCCTTCTATTGTTAAATAGAATGTATCTACATCATAACAATCATTCGAAAAGGTATAAAATGAAATGACTTGAATCAGTCATGCTCTAAATCATCTCCATACACAAATTTCTCAAAACATATGTATATATGTTGATAGTTGGTTACTTGATTTAAAGCCATAACCAGATTCTTCATCTAACACATCTATCCTAAAATCAAATCATAGGGCTCATAATCTTTCGACTTTGCAAATGTTCAGGCTCATTACTGTCTTTATAAAATCATTTTCGTTTTTATCAACTAAAAATTGAATGATCTAAGACGCTGCAGATGTAACTCACACGCAAGCCGCATACAATCTGTCCATGGATCACAGTAATCGTATATAGATATGTTTAATTCTCATAACATTCACACTCGCATAGCTATATATATTAAAGTAAACGAATGATTACGAATGTGAAGAAAAATAGACAATCCAAAAAAAACCACAATACGATAAAAATTAACATTTAAATAAGAAAAGAAGAAAAAAAAAGATATTACCTGCTTCTTGTTGTGTTCGTCCACAGCGAATCGAGCAAGGGTTTCGATCTCAAGGCTGTTTTCGGCGCCCTTAGACTCGGTAATTCCTCCACAAACTGCCATTTTTGTAACGATTAAAAACCTAGCAACGTAGAAAGTTGATAAAATACGACAATCCTATCCGAAAGATGTTGTTATACGCACGAAAGTAGTGGACAACCTTGAATTATGCTTTCAAATATTGATATGCATTCAATATAATCATAACTGACCACTTACAATTCATTAAATTTCCATTAACATTTTCAGTTTTCATTTGCACCTTTTTCATATAAAAAAGTTACAATCTTACTTTTGTAAAACTTTATTTATATTCTTATCCGCTAATCACTTCGTTAATATAAACTAGAAAGGTTACCCCCGCTACACGGGGGCCAGAAGCTTTCAATGTTGTTTCCGAATTGATAAATATGACAGACATAGAAAATGCAATGATGAAAAGTCCGGGCTTTGCCCCGGACAAAAAATGTAAAAGTTTTCACTGCAAGGACCAGAAGTGTGAAAATGGCTAAAGAATTAAAGGGGTAGGAATTAGCAACTTTTTAGAAAACGGATCAAAGTTGTCAAACCGTTAAAGTTTTGTGGCCAAACTTTAAATATTAAAAGGTTCCAAAAAAGTGTAAAAATATTGATTGCAAGGACCAAAAGTGTCAAAATGGGTAAAGAATAATGGCCAAAGTTGCAAAAAAAACATCCAAATTTAGTATTCTTAACTTCCAACAATAATACAGGGACCAATTCTGCCAAAAAATAAGAAGTTGAATGGAACACAAACAAAAGGACATGAATAAATTAATTAAAAGAGTACAGGGACCGGATATGTAAATCAAGGGACCAAACTTGGACAAAGTATCCCAAGTTTAATATTCATTTCTTCCACAACTTTAATATATATATATATATAATAATTATCAAAATATATAAATAAATTTATTTGTATTTTTTTAACAAATTACATTGTTAAAAGAACCCTATAAATATATTAATACGTATATCGAAAGTTATTAATAACTTTTTTTTTATAGTTTATTACCATATCAAGTTGTCAAAACATTTCAAAACTCTTTTAAAGTTATGTTACTTTTTAGTTATACAAAACTCTGTTTTTAAAGTACAAGCATAACTTAGTAGATAAATGAGTCTTTTCAATAACAGTCCAAGTAGAACATTAGTAAGCTATAATAGGTATAGTTTAGGAGAATGCTATTCATTACTTCTAGTACAATGAAGCACCCAAAGAGACAATACCATAACAGAACATACAGTGAACAGAATCAAACAATACCATACAGAGAGAACACACAATAAAGAGAAACAAACAGAACAAACAAGTTAAGTTGCTATAGCATGAGAACACATACAGGATCTAATTATACCAATGAATCACTAACTCATTGTTTTAAACAAAAGGTGATAGTTATATTGGGTATACATGATCATATAACTTTAATGTGAATTACACGGCTTGCAAGAATTTGCAGAGGTCGCGTTTAGTACCCTTAATCTCTTGACAGGGAGAGCGTATAGTAGGGGTTCTAGCCTTCACATTTTGACCGTAATAAAACAAATATGTTTTTAGGTTATTAGTATATCCGCATGTCATTATAAACGACAATTGTGTACTTACATTTCCCATTACTTTCATAAAGTGACAGTACCACTTGAAAGTCAAACTTAAACTATTTTCGAGTCAAGATAGTTATAAACTAGGGAAAATATACATTTTTACAAACGACAAAGGGAACAGTCGAGTCTAGCACATAACGGAAGATGCCTTGGTAGAAGGCTGCGATTAAAAGATAGGACATGAATAAATTTATTTATATATTTTGATAATTATTATATATATATATATTAAAGTTGTGGAAGAAATGAATATTAAACTTGGGATACTTTGTCCAAGTTTGGTCCCTTGATTTACATATCCGGTCCCTGTACTCTTTTAATTAATTACATTGTTAAAAACATCCCCCCTTTCTCCTCTCATCCTCTTGCTAGTTGTGTTTGTGAACCATTAGAGGTGCAACATTTGGGGCACTAAGCTTTCAAGAGTCAAAGATCTACAAGGAGTTCTTGTTATTAATACATAACAAGTAAGGTAATCATCTAAACCCTATTTATACATAGATTTCGAAATTGTATGCTAGATCTAGGGTTTTGCTTTGGTATTCAATTTGCATGTTCAACTAGTGAAAAACTTATATCCAAAGCAATTAGGATTGCATGAACACATAGGTTGTTGTTATGCTCAAAACTCATCAGTGGTATCAGAGCCTAGGATGTTTTTCAGTTAAATTTGATGCAATAATGAAGTGTCCAAAGGAGAAGGGAGCAGATTCGTCAATCTGTTCAGCAAACTCGACGAGTTTATAGACACTAGTACAAAAATGATCTACGTACACACTTTTTGAAAAACGGTCTGTCACACTTTTTATTAAAAGTGTGGCCAAAGGTCACTAAAAAAAATTTAGAGACTATTTTTGGATACATTTAAATTAGTTTGTGTGTCCATTGTATAGATAATCAAACTTTAACCACACTTAAGTATGCCCAATGTGATAATTATTAGCCACACTCGAACACTGTGGTCATATGTTACCATCTGCCACGATTACTGATTAACATTATGATACCTTTTTTATATGAGATAATAGATAAATATATGGTGACATGAGGCAATTGTATATGTTTCTGTATCATGGTGCCTTTTTAGACACATCATATCCAATGTAGCTAACAGGTGATACATATGGTCATATTAAATATGTGTGTGTCCATAGGGTCATGTTTACTAATGACTTAATAAAAGCAAGAAAACAAGTTACCTTTAGTGGCTTATGGTCATGTGCATTTTATTATGTGTGTTGAAATATGATGAATTGGCTTTGAAAAAAAAAATAATATTGTGAGTACAAGTTGCATTTGGTTATGGTTACAATTATAATGTGTGTCTATAAGTAAATATAGTTATAGAAGAAATGTAATGTTTGATCAGTATAATTATAGTATGGTCATTGAATGTGTCACTATAATTATGTAATGGTCATTCTTTTTGTACTAGTGTATTTCTAAATTTAAAGAATAGTCTTGATAAAACAAAAAAAATGTTACTATAAGTATTTAATGGTAACTTATTAATGTATTTTGTGTTTCATCACCTAAATCCTCAACAATAATCATATATTGATAATATTAATTCAACAAGTTAATTTTAGTGGGTTATATTCATGTGCCTTTTATTATGTGTGTAAAAATATGATGAATTGGCTTTGAAAAAAAAAACAAATATTATGAGTTTAAGTAACATTCGATTATGGTTACAATTCTTATGTGTGTCTATAAGTAAATCTAGTTAAAGAATAAATATAATATTAGACCAGTATAATTATAGTATGGTTATTGACTATGTGATTATAAATATGTAATGACATTTTTTGTACTAGTGTATGTCTAAATTTAAAGAATAGTATTCACCAAAATACCCTTTGTTGACTAGTCAACCATTTGGCGGATATAGAGTCATTAAGTCTCACGTAAACTGCATAACTTATTATTAGACTTTAGAACAATTTTTGCAAAAAAAAGGTCTTTTGACTTAAAAGTCCTTAAGTTTTCAAATTTTTTGCCGATATGTCCTAGTGACGATTTTTGGTTTATTTATGCCTAATATTTTCGATTTTTTTTCACACCGGCCATTTAGCCGGTTACTCGTCTATTAGCCGGTAACCCCTTGGTGACGTTGCGATAATTAATATATGCATAGGACCAATGTTTTAAAAACCGGTTTTTTAGTTGAACCGGTATGGTGACCGGTTTCCGGTTCAACCGGTTTAACCGGTTCGACCGCTGAGTAAACCGGTTTCTATTATTTTCATCTTTTTTCGTATTTTCCTACACATACATACATACACAAATCAAGAATTTGATGTCCACAAGTTCAAACATTAAAATACATATGAAAACAAGTTGTTGATCAATCTAAATACATTAAAATAACTCATAACCATAAGTTTGACATCAATCCACGTGCATTACAAAGAAAATAAAGTCCTAGATTAATATAAACAAATCAAAAAACTTCATAACATTTATCATGTGCTTTTATTTAGAAAATTTTTAATAAATGTGAAAAAATTAACAAAGTTTATTATACAAAATGTTTCAATTCCATGTGTTTTTATTCAATTTAGCCGGTTCAACCGGTTTAATTGAACCGGTTCAACCGGATTTTTGTAAAAACCGGCCGGTTCGATCCGGTTCAGAAATAGACAAAAAACCGTTGATAGTTAAACCGCTCCATTCCCCGATTCCCGGTCCAACCGGTTCGACCGGCCGGTTCAAACCGGCTTTTAAAACATTGCATAGGACACGTCAACGCCATTAATTAAAAAAAGAGGACAAAGAGGAGCAGAACGTTGCTGCCGGGATTCGAAAACAAAACCTCGAGCAAAACTTTGAAACACCTTTTCCACTAGGCCAATGATCAATTCGCGTCCTACCCTCTTAAAGCTCATCTATATATCGAAATAAACGTTGTGCTGTTTTAATAATAATAATAATAATAATAATAATAATAATAATATTATTATTATTATTATTATTATTATTACTATTATTATTATTATTATATACGGTTTTAGTTGTATAAATCTATTTTATACGCATTTATACATCTAAAAGTTTATTTGTATATATATAATACTTTTTAAATGAAAGAACTTTTTATTTGTAAAAATATATATTCAAATGATTATATATATATATATATATATATATATATATATATATATATATATATATATATATATATATATATATATATAAAATCATTTGAATATATATTTTTACAAATAAAAAGTTCTTTCACAATTAAATATGTATATAAATGATATTTATACGCATAAAAAGATTTTATGCCTATAAAAACATTTTGATACATGTATATAATGTTTTTTTACGAATTAAATATATAAATATATTTTTTACGCTTAAATATATAAAAACATATATATAATTTATACGTATAAAAATGTAAAAAAAAATGTTATTTATATGAACTAAATAAATGTATATAATGTTTTACCACCCACTACCCACAAACCACCAACCACCATTCATC